GGGAACAGGTATTACAACGGCTATAAGTCAATTTCGGCTGTCCAGCATCTGAATGCCCTTCTGAATTGAGAGAAACCCAAGGTGGACAAGAAGTAGGAACTACTTTCCACTAGAGAAGCTATAGAGAAGTAAACATTCTTCCTTCCCTGAAAGCCAGAACACAGAAAGGTAACAAACGCACCTAACCATAACTGGAAATACAAAGACACGAGCTGTAACAGAGCTTATGCAGAGCAGATACAGAAGAATCAGGAATTTGAAGGCATGGCTGCAAATGTCGGGGACTGTCAGGGACTGGCGGGGTTTGGTGGGGGGTACCGAAGTCTAGCAGCGTGAGATGACTGGCTGGTCAACGGTTTAGAAGCATCTTGTCTATAGAGTAAGATACAGAAATCTTGGCTGTGCCTAGCTTTCCATCAGTCCTGCCCAAGCCTAATTCTCTAATCTTCTTGTCAATTCTGTGAGCCACACAGTATTCATTATTACTCACTTTTCATTTTACTCACTCACATTACTCAATTCATTCACTTACTTCCTACCTTACTTAAGTTGGCCAGAGTTGGTTTTCATTGTGTGCACTAAGAAATCAGCAGCAGGGAGATCACCAGCAAGAGCCCCTCAGGTAATTATGGGCAATCTGAAATTGGTTTCTGGCCTAAGAGGGCCCGGTGAGTGTCATATTAGTGTTCCTGGAAGGGATTCTGCAAAGGCCTTGACATGGAGCAGTGAAATAACTAATGCCCACTTGGGGTCTCATGGAAAGCTCAGGGTGATTGAGAGAGTGCTGCATGAAAGGAAGGAAGAAGGGAAGAAGAAGGCAAGACTGTGAGGTCGAGTGTCCGCTATTCTCAAGGCGCAAGATAGCCTACAGCAAGAGAATATTAAGGTTGAATACCAAGGAACTAAGCTTAAAGCACAGACTGAAACCCAGGTACCTTAAAGAAAAGGCTCTTTTCTGGGACGCCTGGGTGGCTCAGCGGTTTAAGCCTTTGTCTTTGGCTTGGGTCATGATCTCAGATTCCTGGGATGAGCCCTGCATCAGGCTGTCTGCTCAGCGGGGAGCCTGCTTCCCCCCGCGCCCCCGCCTGCCTCTCTGCCTACTTGTGATCTCTGTCAAATAAATAAATAAAATCTTTTTAAAAAAAAAAACAAGAAGAAAGTAAACAAGTAAACAACAAGAAAGCCAAGGTAGCTATAAAAACAATGCGCAGTTTGATGCTCCAGATTGGTGAATTACAGGTCAGTTAAATTTGTATCCATATTGGGACTATTATATGAAAGTTCAAGCACTGGCTGGAGAGAGAGTAGGGTGGCGGAAGAATGAATTGGAGTGGAGGTTTATACACAGGAAGATGCTGAAGGATGGGAACATCCAGAATCCCCATTCCTCAGGTAGGCCCCCTTGCGAGCAGTTTGAATGAGACTGTTCCTCTCCTGCTTGAGAAGGCAGTAAAATCCGTCTGCCTAAAGGAATTACCTTGCACGAGTAAATGAATTCCCACCTGCCTCATCCTTCCACATACAAACTCTGCTCTCCTGCCATCAGATCACAGCATGCTATGCTCTGTGGGGCTGACTACAAACGTATCAAAAGAATTACAAGAATTTGGTTATATGGACAAAAATACAGGAAATTAGTAGAGGAATAGATTCTGAGCATGCTGAGGAAGAAGCAATTTCAGATCTCGCTGAGGTTGTTAACACAGTTACCTTACCAGAGATTCTGAGTTCAAAACGCTACCTTCAGTGCCTGAGTGTGGTTCTACATTTTCATATAGTTGGAAGATTAGAAATTGGATTCATGGTGGTCTATGCTAAAGGAAGCTGAGATGCCATGAATTTGGGGGATGATGTTGAAGGAGGAAATAAAACGCTTCAGGACACATGAATCATGGAACTTATTGTCACCCATGACCTCTCACCCATTCTCCATCCACGAACCCTAAAAGGACCCAGAAGACACTTCCTTTTCCAAGGTCTTGAAAAATACATTAGTAAGTAGAACACTCACGTCTTTGGAAAATATTTTATAGGCCAGGAAGGTACTGAAATCAGTTTGCTCATTTCAATTTCAGGAAGACTGGAAGAGACTAAGCAGTGCCATTTAACCACTAGTGAGTGGTCAAGTAGGCATAATTACATAAACAGGCAGCAAGGCTAGAGTAGCAATTGAAATAGCTTGAATCTTTTACAGTAGCTAATTGGTCAGAGTCCTTAGGATCAGAATAAATAGGTTATCTCATTTCATGGAGAAAGAAGTATGTTTTCGTTTGTAAAAGGACTACATTAGGACAGGTGCGAATAATTGTTTTATATAATGCAACTATGGGGAAAAAGTATATGCATAGATGCTGGAGAGTTAAAATGGCAGACTATAAGAGATGCTTTCTTGATGAATTGTTCCTATTTGGGAAAATGTCCCAAGATCAGGGGAAGATTCTACCTCTCACTGCAGAAGCCAAAGTGACAGATAATCCCTCTCCCTATCTCTCTGAAGACAAATGTGAGCACATACCCTAAACACAGCCAATCAATTGGTTAGACACAGATTTCTGATCCTTGGGAAATAAGGCAAAGGTCAGTGAGAGATTATTTTCAGCACAGCCTGTGGCACAGCCCCAAGGGTCCACTGGTGAAAGTCTGGCATTGTGGTGTCTAGGGAGGACAGTGCCAGCAGAGACACACTACAAGGTGAAAACGTGGCTGTCTTTGCTGCCGCCAGTTCCTGTCTACATCTGGTTCCAGCTTGCCTAACAGTTCTTGTAGTTTCTCAGTATTCACCTAATACATTCCTCCTGTGCTTGAAAATGATTTCTGTGACCTGCATTTAAGAATATTAATGCAAAGGCCTATATGCATTTTAGGATAATTAGGCCATCAGGACAGAAAATAACATACTGTCTATATATATACATATACACACACACACACACACATATATACAAACACACACATATATATATGTGTGTGTGTGTATATATATTACTCCCTGTAGCAGATGGAATTAAATAAACTATAATGATGGACTTATGCTCAAAGCCCAGATAGTTACTTCTCCCACTAATAGGTTAGATGAAATCAAATGAAACTATAGATATTAGACTATTTTTTTTACCAAAATAAAACAAAACAGACAAAATTCATGCTGCTTAACCTAATATTTCTAGGTTGTATTAAAAGGCACAGTAATATTTATTTCTCCCTACTTCGTTGTTCTTAGCTAACTTTAAAGAGCAATCTTTAAAATTCTTACTTAATTTGTCTAATATTTTTTAAATGTTTGGGCTTTAAAATACTACTAACAAAACCACAAAATCTTTTTATATAGTACTGGTTCAACCTTACAGAGGGTTAACCCCCTCAAAGCCGATAAATAATGGAAAAGTCTGGGGGAAAATTAGATATGTTTAGTAAGAATGAATTAGAATTGGAGAAATTTGTAACCAGAAGGACCAACTGATTTGATTCACATACCCTCCTAATTTGCATCCTATTTGTCTAATGCGATTTCATACTATTTGTTAAAGTTCTTAAGGAAAGCATACAACATTTTTGGTAAGTGGTTCTAGTTACTAAAACCTAGAAACCAGTCTTTGGGGGTATCTTATTTCTTGTGTATTTACCTATACCATACCGGCTACCTTTCCTTTCACATTTCTGGAATATTAAATGTAGCTCCTTCCCAACCATCATGCACTGTTCGTGGGAATGCAAATTGGTGCAGTCACTGTGGAAAATAGTGTGGAGATTCCTCAAAAAATGAAGAACAGAACTACCATATAATCCAGCTATTCCACTTTTGGGTATTTACCCAAAGAATACACAAACATTCATTTGAAAAAATAATATGTGCCCCTATGTTTATGCAGCATTATTTACAACAGACAAGATATGGAAGCAACTCAAGTGTCCACCAACAGATGAATGGATAGAGAAGATGTGGCACACACAGACACACACACACACCTGTACACACAGTGGAATATTACTCAGCCATAAAAAAGGATGAGACCTTGCCATTTGCGCCAACATGGATAGATCCAGAGGATATTATACTAAGAGAGATAAATAAGATAGAGAAAGACAAATGCCATACAATTTCACTTATACATGGAATTTAAAAACCAAAACAAACAAATAAAAAGCAGAATCAGACCTACCAATACGAGGCCCGGCAGGTGCCAGGGAGAAGGGGGCTTGGAGATGGGCAAGATGGGTGAAGGGGAGTGGGAGACACAGGCTTCCAGTGATGGCATGAATTAAAGGTACAGCACAGGGAACATAATGAATGGTCCTCTAGTAGTGTTGTGTGTTGACAGACGGTAACTATACTTGTGGTAAACACAGCACAACATAGAAACTTGTTGAATCACTATGTTGTAACATGAAACTAATGTGACATTGTGTGCCAGCTATACTCAAAAAAAATAAATGACTATTAAAAAAAGGCAGTTCCTCCTCAAACCATGTATATTAACTCTTCATATACTTAAAGGTAATTACAAATTGAGCCTTCAGCATTTCTCTTCATACTCAACCATCCTAATTCCTTTAGTATTTCCTCAAGAGTCTGTTTTCTAGTCCTTTTCTCATATTCTCTAAACCTAATGCCTATTTGCCAAATCTTCCAAACTGCAGAACTTAGTATATCCTGAAAGCAGATCAATGTGAAGGAAGAGACCAGCTTTAGGGTAGGTAAAGATGTGTCCCTGGAGAAGAGGGTTGAACAGGAATCAATGATATGGAGTATGAGTGGAAGTAGTCAAATACTTACCCAACCATTCTTAATACAAGTGCAAGGCTAGAAGAAATACACTGTGGAAAATGAGATAAAATGGGTTTGCTTTGTGTTTCTTCCTTTTTTTTTTTTTTTTTTAAACCTATCACCAAAGTCCTCTAAGAGGGTCCAGTAACAGATTATTAGATTTGCTCTAAAACAAGAGTTCTTAAATTGCCTCAATACTTGCTCAAATGTTGTTAAACTGATGAGGGGTTTTTACCTGAATGGCACTTCTTCCTCTGGGACATCCACATAGTAACGGATAAAAAATCTCTCAGAATCTTCTCGCTCACCCTCAGTAACAACACTGCCATTAAGTTTGGAAACTGATGGCAATCTGTAAGTAAAATCAAAATAAAGGCATTTTAAGACAGCGAGAATATTTAGCTTTAGAAAGAAAATCATTGGTTTGAGGCCCCATCTTACTCTCTCAAGAGGACACATTTGATGTAACTCTGCTTGTGTACAGCTACTTACATGAACTAAAGTGGTATAGAATAAAAGTACCAAAAATATCCAAAGTTTCATATTTAGATGGGACACTGACCTTTTATAATTATACCTTGCCTTTCAAAATGAGATTCTAGCCAGCACTGTCCAACTTAAATATAATGCAAGCCACAGATATAATTTCAAGTTCTTTAAGAGCCATATTTTAAAAAAATAAAAATAAAACAGGTGAAATTAGTTTTACTAATATATTTTATTTAATATAATATAGATTGAGGACTTAATCATTTCAACATGTAATCAATACTAAAAAATAACTAATAGGATACTTTACATTCTTTTTTCATATAAAGTATTCGAAGTTCAGTGTATATTTTACACTTAAAGCAGTCTTCAGTTCAGACTAACCATAATTCAAGCGCTCAGAAGTCACACAGGGATAATGGCACCACAGTGGACAGTGCAAGTCTACAAGTGGAGTAGTCAGGACAAATGGGCTTTATTGTTTAGGAATTAATTTATTACCTTTACAAAAGAATTATGTAAAGGAAATAAAGCATAAGGTCTACTACAAGCCTTATTCTTTTTAGAAGAAAAGTATGCCTAAATGTATTTCTTCAGTGAGATATTACTGCATATATCCACAACTGGAAAGCAGTACGGATCTGCTAGGTGTTAGCTGGGCAGGAAGATCAACAACCTGTTTGAAGACCCACTCTTCCTTAGGGAACCATAAAGCCCCTTTCAAAACTACTACACATAGTACACAAAGAAAACAAATGAAAGTTTGTTTTTCTTTACATCTCAGCCAGAATCTTATTGTTGCTAAAGGCTCATACAGAAATCAAAACTCATTTCAGTGGTCTTGGGGAGACAGAGTCAGAGACACGAAAGGCAGGGGAGTCAGAGGAAGAACATAATGGTGTGGTAGTCATGTTTGAGCCAATCTGTAGTCAAGAAGAAAACACAGATGCTGCTCTCTTAAGTTTCACATTAATAAAACAGCCCAATTTTTAGGTATTTACACTTTAAGTGACCACTACGTGAATAAAGTAAAGACAACTGAAACAGAACTCTTTCCCTATTATACCTAATTTTTCTTCATGATCAAAAAGCAGGACTTTGAATATTATAAGTATTAAAAGGTATAAAAGCAGAATAGATCTGTGAGGGAATGTTTCAGTGGTCTCAGCAGGCCAATTACCTTTCACATCTTTCTCACCACATTGTGTTCCTTTTCTTCTGGACTTCAAGCTACAGAAGCAGCTCCTTCGAGCACTGTCTATTCAAGAGACAGATAAACTTACAGCGCACTCCCCTCCATTAGTGCATTATCCCTCTAATGAAATAAGGCCCGAGAGAAGAAAGGAGAGTAATCAGGACAACAGACCTGGCTATTACCAATTTCCTCCGCTCCTCGGTGGTATATGGCTGCAGAAGAGGAATTCCTAACAATCTCACTTCTTCAAGTTTGGGGAATGAATTTAGTTTGTCAATGTCTTCCCAGGACTGCAAACCTAATTTGAGAAATATATTATTTAAGTAAATCCAGAAAAGCACACAAATAAGAAGATTAACATAGAAAAAAATTACTTCAATTGATTTCTGAAATGTTAAAATCCTTAAAAACGTTGTAGCTGGACATCCTGAAAATTTTCTTCATCCAAGGAAAGAACAGAATACAATTAAATACCACAAAAACTTTCCTATAGCCTCTCCACTCCCTGTGAAGCCAGTGGTCAAGGAGGGAACTTTATTCTCCAACACCTCAACACCCCACTAATATACTGATTCTCCACCCAAATGACTTATAAAGAGGGTATCTGGTGGTTTCAATAGGTAAGATGTATACCGTGCTTATATAAAAAAGGTGATGTGGTCAACTCTGTCGTCAAATATAGACTCACAGAACAGAACTACTGATCAGAGTTGATACTGTCAGACTCAAATCTTTACCTAACAAATTCTCAAATGGGGCAAGGTAAGTAGAATCGGAAACTAAATATTATCTTTCTTACATACTGTCCTCATTTTGGGGACAGGGAAAACAGATTTTAAAAGTAAAACAAATAAAAAACAGAGAACCTGGTGCTTGCTTCAGCAGCACATATACCAAAATTGGAATGATACAGAGAAGATAAGCATGGCCCCTGCGCAAGGATGACACACAAAGTTGTGAAGCGTTCCATATTTTTTATAATATTCCATGCCATTATGCACCTTTTTTTATTGTATCATTCTTCTATTGTGGGGCACTTGATGTGTTTCAAAAGCTTTAGCTTTACTGAAAAATTAAAAAAAAAAAAAAACCACAAAGAACAGTAAAAAAAAACAAACCCAAAAACAAACAAAATAAAAACAGAGAACCTGAACCACTGGGCAAGAAGAACATGCAACAAATTAAAACTGTTTCATGCAAAAAAATAAATAATTTTTTCCCCCTATGGCTGTGAGCAAATATATCATCCAAGTCTATACTTGGCACTGCTAGGAAAAATATGCCCGTAGTAATGAAGCTGGTCGATTTTATAACATGTTAAATCTATTTCAGAGAATGCAGTCCCTTCCTATTTCTAGCCACCTGCAGCAAGGGCAAAAGCAGAGGAGCAATACATGAGGGCTCCAGTGCATAACTATCCCCAGCCACCACCGCTCTCTTCCCTTCAGAACCATATTTCCATCTAGGAGGAAGGACAGAGTTAACGTAACGGGTGTCAAGTTGCACAGTCAGCAGCTTCTTTATACAAAATGCTAGTTTTTAAAACTTAATTCCTAACCTTATAACTTCTATGGCAATTAAACTGTATATGTTTTTTTCAACTGTAGATTACAGTTATTTTTAGTTATGAAGTTATTTTAAGAAATGGGCTGAAAGGCAATGTCAAGAGAATGAGAAGAAAAGCCACAGACTGGGAGAATACATTTGTTAAAGACATACCTGATAAAGGATCATTATCCAAAATATGCAAAGAACTCTTAAACTCAACAATAAGAAAATGAACAACCCAAATTAAAAAAAAATGAGCAAAAGACCTGAACCGACACCTCACCAAAGAAGACATACAGATGGGAAGTAAGCATGTGGAAAGACGCTCAATGTCATACGTCATTAGAGAACTGCAAATTAAAACAAGGTTCCACTACACACCTATCAGAATGGCCCAAATCCAGAACACCCACATACTGCTGAAGGTGTGAAACAACAGAGACTCTCATTCATTGCTGGTGGGAATGCAAAACGGTGCAGCCACTTTGGAAGACAGTTGGCAGTATCTTATAAAACTAATAAACATATTCTTACCATATCATCTAGCAATCGTACTCCTTGGCATTTACCCAAGTGAACTGAAAACTTATGTCCACACAAAACCCTGCACACTGAGGTTTACAGCAGCTTCATTAATAAATGCCAAAACTCTGAAGCAGCCAAGATGTCCTTCGGTTTGTGAGCGGATAAACTGGGGTGTATCCAGAAAATGGGACATCACTCATTCATCACTAAAGAAATGAGCTATCAAGCCATGAAAAGACACGGAGGAAACTTACATGCATATTCTTAAGGGAAAGAAGCTAGTCTGAAGAGGCTATATGCTGTATGATTCCAGCTATATGACATTTTGGAAAAGGCAAAACTATGGAGCCAGGAGAAAGACCACTGGTTACCAGGGACTGCGGGATACGGGGAGACGAACAGGCAGAACACAGAAGGTTGTTAGGGCAGTGAAACTACTATGAACGATACTAGAAAGGGGAGACATTGTCATTAAACGTTTGTCCAATCCCACAGAGTGGACCACACCAGGAGTGAACCCCCATGTAAACCGTGGACTTTGGGTGATGGGACAATGTAGGCTCAATTATAAGAGATGCATCACTTTGGTGCTGGCACTCTGACCGTGAGACGGCTGTGCGTGTGTGAGAGCAGGGAGGATGTGGGAACGCTGTACTTCCTGATCAGTTCTGCTGTGAATTTAATACTTCTAAAAAAATGAAGTTTATTAATTAAAAAAAAATAGGCTAAAAATGTGCATTCCTGGGAGACACAGAATTGGATGGCAGCAAACTGGCAATCGATCATATATAAATACTAGAAAAGAAAGGTGAGCATTTACAAGGTATTGTAAGTTGAAATTCTTTAACCTAAGTAGACAAAATAGTCTAGTCTGTAATTCTTCGTACTCCTTTTACTCTGCCTTTTACTGTCCAATTCATCAATTTCATCTCACTCTTTTCACAGCAGGACCTCTTTAATAGATAAACTACATATATATAAATATAAATATATAAACTATCTTTAATAGAAAAACTATAAACAGCTAATAGGAGGCTCGGCCACTTGATATGTATCAGAGCATTTATGAAAACGAATGCCTTGAATTTAGCTAATCAATAGGCATCCGCACACCACTCTTGGAAATGTATCCTATGAGAAGGCAGAACCACGACTGAAAGAAATGGGCTTTCATTTACATCATGCATAAGCTCAGATCGATTTGCATGTGGAACAAGAACAAGCCTATAGCTCACCTGACTTGTGGAGGCTGATGGACCGCAGATTGGGGAACAATCTGGCCAGTGAATCATCAGGTTCCTCAATAGCATTCAAATGATTGTTAGCCAGGACGAGAGTATCCAGTGAAGGAAACATAACTCCTAGCTTTCGAATTTCAGTCCAGTCTTGGAGGTTATTGTCTGTTATATGTAGTAGCTTAAGAGAATGACAGCGAATAGAAGGACAAGACACTGTTTCATAGTCATTAAGGCACAGGAAGAGCTCCTCCAAACTGCAGAGAAAAAAAGGAAATATTTCACTGTTTAAAGCAGTTAAGTTTCTACTTTGCAGCTACTTTCATTCATTAAGTAAGTGCCTACAGTGTGGGGGACTCTGGTAGGGATTATGGAGAAAATATAAAGATGTCTTCCTAAAGCTTAAATATAGCTGGGAAGACAAAACCTAAAACACATAAAACAGCAGAGAATGATATAACCCAGGACTAAATTAATTTCGTGCTTAAATAACTAAGTGCTGAATAAAGCAGTACTAACTTGAAGTACAAAAGCAGTTCCTATAGGAGTGGAATTGAAATTGCAGTTAGAATCATCAGGAAAGAATGCATGGCCTGGAAGGAAGGGTAGACTTGCGTAAGTTGCAAGGACAGAGAGGTAAATCCCACAAACAGCATGAACAGAATGTTTAGAAATAAAATAATAACTCTCATTTACTGAATTCCTATCCTGAGGCAGGCCTTGCTCCGAGTGCTTCCTAGACTGTACTGCTATTTCTGCAAATTAGATACGATTACGTCCATTTTAAAGACAAGGAAAACAGAGCTTAGTGAGGTTAATGACCTTATCGAAGGTCATATGGTCAGAAAGTGGAACTGGGATTTAAAAGCTCATTCTACGCCATGCTAGATGCTGCATGTGGTGAGGAAACCAATCTTACTAGAGGGATAGTGAGTACCTCGGGTGGAACAAATGGGGAGAGACAAGGTTCAAAAGGCCTTGATCATTTCCATAGTTAGACAAAGAAACTATGGTTTCATATGTTTCTTTAAACTACTTTCTTTGAACACTTACGTGCATACTGAAAGCTAGATACAAACAAATTTAAGAAAAGTACTTCGAAACTGACAAATAAAAACATAATTTCTTGTTTAAATTACTGAGGAGAGTTCCGTTTTCCCATCAGGCCAGCGAGACACTTAATCATCTGAGTGTTAATATATTTTATAGATACTATGATTTTTTTTCCCTCCCTAAGAAAAGCACTGAGGCAAAATTCTGAAATCAGGTAATCAGAAGATTTAAAATGGAGAAAGAGTGGGTTGATGTAGAAATGATAAGTGCTTCTCAGGGGTATCTTCTAGCCAAAGGATGACAGATCCTATGTCTTGGTGCTACTCAACACTGAACAAGTATTGCAACGAATGCTACTAAGTGACCCTCACACCCTCGTTCTAATTACTTCATTCTTCTGACCTCATTCTCCAACCACCCTGCTGTTCCAGTGTTTCTGAGACGGGAGATCTGCAGTAATTCTATGTACTAACAAAGATGGCGACATCGCCCCCTCTCCATCATGCCCTCCAGGCTTACTCTGGTAACTCCTGCAGTATCGTGTGGACTGTCTCCCAAGAAGCTTTGCTGTTGTTGAGGACAAGTTTGCGAACCCCAGAGAAGGACCCAGCACATGTTCTTTCTAAAACCGACAAATTCAGAGGGTTGGAACTCAGGTTTAGAAACTCCAACTGGGGAACATTTGACACAATTTTACTGACCTAGAGAGAAAAAAAGAAATGCATATCAGGCAGTAATCAGAATTTTTAAATAGCAATCGCGCTCACAAAGCTTAAGTGAGTGGGTGTCCAGGAAAGAGGCCCTTCATATCAGGGAGTCCTGTGTTAGTGATGGTACCTACAGAGGGGCAAAAGTAATTTCAACAAATCTCAGCAAATAATTTAATCTTTCCATGAAATAGTGACATAATTGAAAATTAATGGTACAAAAGAGAGCCCTTCCATGTGGCCTTGGGCAAGGTTTTTGATTCTATATGACGTTCTCTTTGATAAATGGAGAAAAGACAGTTTAGAGGACATTTTAGGCTGCAAGTTTCTAAAGAACTGAGACTGGGTCATGTAATTCTCTCTGAATTTCTCCTCCCTTTTGTCCTCAGTACGTTAAGGCTAATTAAAGGTTTATTGAAGAACACACGGTAACAGCTCAAGTGTTCAAAATTGACTGCATAGCTATGATCACTTGGGAACAGTTTCAACTTGGTTCAAAGATGACCAAAGTCCAAAATATATATAGTCAAAAACCAAAAAGTGTCCACGACTACATAAGAAAAGAGAACACATGATCATCAATTTAACAATTTACCTAGTAACTTGGTAGGCAAGATTTTTTTCTAAAAAACGAAATTAGCGTTACTGACCTATTTGCTCTGCATATTTCCAGTCTCTTTGATATAGCTTATTTCATTTAATTCTCAAAGCAACTTGCAAGATAACTATTTTCCCATTAAAAAAATGAAGAAACGAGGCTTGGAAATGTTAAATAATTTGACTAAGGTCTCAGGGTCACAAAAGCCAAATCTAGGATTTAAAAACCTGAGCCATTATTCTTCCAGCATACCACCACTAGTAAATTATAAATATACTCCGGAAAGAAAAAATTAAGAACTAGCTTAAACAAGTATGAAGTAAATATGAGAAGCCCAGTAAATGGGTAAAACATCAATGTGGTAACTCAACTTTATGAGAAAAGGAGTACAACCGAATAGCTAGGATTTGTTTCACAGTCAAAAACCTGGGTTCAAACCAGGTTCCAACACTTCGCAGCTGTGTGGTCTGAGGGGTTATTCCACCTTCCCAGGTCTCAGTGTCCTCATCTGTAACACAGAGAAAACAGGATCCACCTGTTTCTCAGGACTATGGATCAGATTAAATGAGATACATGTGTAAAGCACTTAACATGATGAATGGCATACCTTCTAGAAACTTACTTTCTTACCTATTCCCCCACAGGATGTAAACTCCATGAAAGCAGGGAGAGTACTTACCTAGTTCACTACTGCATAGGGGTGCTTAATGTTTGCTGAGTAAATTAATGGCACAAAATCATTCAGTAAATGTAATTATTACTGACATAAGTATTGTATGAACCAACATGACAACCCCGGCTATATGTTATATTGTATTTATTTTTATTTAAATATGTCCTATTTAAAATCATTGGTATGGGGCGCCTGGGTGGCTCAGCGGGTTGAGTGGCTGCCTTCGTCTCAGGTCAGGATCTTGGGGATCTGGGATCCAGCCCTGCATCCAGCTCCCTGCTCAGCAGAGAGCCTGCTTCTCCCTCTGCTTCTTCTCCCACCCCCACTTGTGCTCTCTCTCTCAAGTAAATATAATCTGTAAAAAAAATCAAGTCAAATCAAATCCCTGGTACAATGTGAAAAATGCACAAATTCCCAGGCTCTACCATAAACTACTAAATCAGGAGTTTCAAAGGTGAGCTAAGCTTCCTGGTTGGGACCTAGACTGTTTCTTGTCCGAGCTCCGTAGGTTATGCCAAAAAGGCAGCCCGCATTGAAAACTACAGGTAGAATGAAAAAGTGACGTGCACTTCACCTCAGCTTTGTGTCAACTACACAGGCCAGGAGCTCCACCATCACCGCGAAGTGGACTAATTCCAAGAAGATTCAGAGAAGTCGGTCAGAGGGCACAGTCCTCACACTAGGTCAGCTCCGCCACACGCTAACCTTGTGAAGTGAAACCATTTTTAACTTCATTTTGCAAATGAAGAAATGAGCTATTTTTTAGAGAAAAACACAGTAGGCTTCAGTTTAAATGTAAGTAATTTATGCCAGTCTGTGCACGTTTTCTTGCATGATCCCTTCTGTGATCAAATGGTGCTAAGCATTTGTGTGACGTACGGCCCGTGTTTGGAATTTAGTCTGTGGCTACGACACAGCCAAACAGTCCACACATGGGATGGGTCCTGTGCTCTATCGCCTGAATATGCTTGAGAGGGCTCCTATATAGGGGATGATGGCCTGCCTGGCTTCAAGGGCAAAAGAAGATGAAGAGGAATTGCACTCCAAATACACAAGAATAACAATTATTGGGGCACCTGGGTGGCTCAGTGGGTTAAAGCCTCTGCCTTCGGCTCGGGTCATGATCCCAGGGTCCTGGGATCAAGTCCCACATCGGACTCTCTGCTCAGTGGGGAGCCTGCTTCCCCCTCTCTCTCTGCCTGCCTCTCTGCCTCCTTGTGATCTCTGTCAAATAAATAAAATCTTAAAAAAAAAAAAAAGAATAACAATTATCATATAACCCCCGTTAAATAAAAATAAAACATAAACCTCTTACTAACCATCATTCCTCATATTTTATTTTTATAATAAAAAGAAATTATACCTCCAAATGGATAATTTAAAGGTTTTTGAAGGAATTCTGCCAGAAATTATGAGATATAATCTTCTTCATATTCTGCATCTACACTGCTGTCCCATGATAATAAGGCATTCACTAGCTTTGGAATATTCTAAAAAATTATAACTGGACTATAGTCCAATAATTCAAACAGGAAAAAAATAACGTATGTTAGAAATTCATAAATACATTATTTAAAAGGCTAAAGTTAAAAAGGATTTGGGGGTAACCTTACATTAATGATAAGATTTTAGAAAGTATATTAATTTCACAGGTAAATTTACTTATAAAAATGTCCTAACAGCAAAGGCTGGCAAACATTCAGTAAGTTTCTAGGGCAGTACACCAACTTACCTTTTTTAAATTCTAAAAATCAAAAAGAAAAGACTTCTAGTTGCAGTGATACAGTTGACCCTTGAACAATGCAGAGTTTAGGGGGGCACCAACATCCCACAAAGGTGAAAATCTTCATGTAAATTTTGACTCCTCCAAAACTCAATTACTAACAGCCTACTGTGGATAGGAAGCCTTACAGAAAATGTAAACAGTTGATAAACATATTTTGTATGTTGTATGTTATTATAGACTGTATTCTTACAATAAAGTGAGCTACAGAAAACTTTTGGGTTTTTTTTGTTTTGTTTTAGTAACATGTGTTTTATTTTGTTTTCATATCGAGAAATATAAAGAAAATGAAAAAACACCCTAAATTCACCAGCCCACTATCTTCACTGACGTCAAAACAATAACAAAATGTTCAGTTTTAAAATTCGAACAGAATTGAAATTTTTCTTGTGATTCGTCCCAGAAAAAAAAATGTATGCATATTCCACCATATACACTTACATCTCTAGATTTTTTAGAATTTTACATAAAAGAGACTCTTTTGGGGCACCTGGGTGGCTGAGTCAGTTAAGCGTCTGACCCTTGATGTTGGCTCAGGTCATGATCTCAGGGTCATGGGACTGAGCTCTGTGTTTGGGCTCTGTGCTGGGTCTGGAGCCTGCTTGGGATTCTCTGTCTCTCCCTCTGTCCCTCCTCACCCTCTTTCTCCATCTTAAAAAAAAAAAAAAAAAGAGATCCTCTGTTTTACTTAACCTTTTTTCTTTTTTTTTATGTTTCAAGTTTTAATTTAAATTCCAGTTTGCTAATATATAGTGTAATATTGGTTTCAGGAGTAGAATCCAGTGATTCATCACTTACATACAATGCCCAGTGCTCATAGCAAGTGCCCTCCTTAATTCCCATCACCCATTTAGCCTATCCCCACCCACCTAGAGAAAATACTATTAAGAACACCATAAGGAAGAAGAATTTTATTTATAGCACTGTCCTGTGAGAAGTCTGCATGCAAACAAACCCGTGCAGTTCAAACCTGTGATGTTTGTGTGCAGAAACACGGATGTGAACTTACATGACCTTCTAGGTCTCTACAATTCTCTAAAATTATCTCAACCACTTCTGTTCTTCAAATTCAGAGTAGAGGACCCTCTACTCTGGCTTCCAAAATGAAGAAACTAAAGTTTTAAGAAAAATGGGGAAAGGATTGTAAGATAACAATCTGTAACTTATACCCAAGCTATTCTCTGCCTCACCTGAGGGGCTGATTCCTCCCTGCTCTCAACTACTTGGTTTAATTTCTTTTATAAAATGGTTTCGATAAGGAAGGGAGGAAAAAGGAGATGCCTTGGGAAAGGTGAGACGAAAATGTACTTAGCTAAACTTCAAGTCAAAAGCTAAAAAATGCATCTGTTTTCACACGTGGATGCCCAATTTTAGAAAGATGGAGACAAAGCTTCGCCTTCCCCTCCAGTATTACAGCTCTCCCACGTATTAATCTTTATCTCTAGACATCCAGCAGTGAGTAGTTTAAACCACAAAAGAAGTACTTATAACATTAGTGACCATTCAAAACACTAAAAGAACAAACTATGTTATTTTGTCCCATATTACTATCTCAAATATAGGCCAAACTAAACTTACTTCATGGCCAGGGACCAATTATCTTTTTGGTAATCAGATATACAGATTGCAATGGGGCTAAAATGTAATGTCTTATAACCGTGACTGATGAGGCATTGGTAGTCTGGCAAAGAGTTTCATCAATCCTAAAAATCAATATGCTTCTGCTGTCAGCACTTCTCCCACCTCTCTGTGCTCTGATAGATACTTTAGAAGATTGGGATCAACTACAGTTAAAGCAAAGGACAAAAAATAAAGGAATGATGAAAACAAAAATAAATTGGAAGACGGAAGCCTGAAGGGTAGCGGCAGTGAAGACTTATTTGAAAACTGCCTGGAAATAGAATGTAGAACACTTGTAAGAAGATACAAATTGATCACAACGGAACATAGGACCCTCTGTCCATTCATGTCCATGTGGCCCGGAAAATACGTAGTGTAGACCTTAGTCTACACCAAGCAGAGAAAAGGCTTAAATCCCTCATGTGAACTTTGTGTTCTGCCCACACTGACAAAGCTTGCTCTTCTGAGGCCACAGCTGTATCGCTATTAAACTGTGGGCAGTGGGCAAACGCCTACCTTATGCTCGTGGTCAGAGCGCAAAGCACAAAGCCTCTCTGAAATCTTACACGCCCAAAGAAGCATGTTTAAGGGAATTGGCCTGCAAACACGGGAGGTGAAAAGATTCAGAGGAAAATGTGGTCTGACTTGTCACTCGTGCAGGTTAAAAACCCTCACCAGATGTTCAGCAGCAGGCTATGGGGAGAATCAGGGAGGAGGATGAACAAGGCAGTGCATGGGGCATCCGCGCAGTGTGGACAGAGCACGCACGTCACTTGAGCATCCCAAAGGACCAAGAAGGCACAGACTGTAATTTGTGGAACACTAAATTATGCTAGTTGTTCAGATAAATGAATTAATAAACATATGTACAACCAGAGATTATTTCTTGGAACAGCCCAGTAAATCTGCATATATTAACAAGTCATTTAACAATCAAACAACACGCATCTCAAAGGATTTGGTAAACTTCTCAATAAGAATAGGAAATATGACCAGAAGCACAATTATCAGATTAAACTAGACTATGAAAGAGATAAATGTAAGAAAAGCTGAAGAAAACTGGGTTATACACAGATTTTTCTTAAAAAAGCTGTCTTGGAATTTGTATAGCATTTAATACCTACAAAGCACCTCAGTGATTAATTTTATCTGCAGCCCTGTCTTAGGGATGAGCACTTAAGCACTAAAGGATTAAGTGAGTTTCTTAAGATCATAGGAAAAAATCCCTAAAATACAGTAATTTATTCACTAATGCAATCAACAAACATTTGAGTACCTAGTATGATACTCTGGGTGCTGATGGTAATAAAGACAAAAATCTCTACTTTGAATAAGCTCACAGTCTAGCAGGAAAACTGTCAAGCAAGCAAGAGATTGGACTACATTGTGATAAGTGATTGCATTTGTCACAGCATCGTGATATAGGTACTGGGATAGTCTGTCTCGGCCTGAGCAAGAGCCAGGGAACATTTCGTAGAGGAATAGTGACTTGGGCCAAGTCTTGAAAGATACAGAGGAAGAGGTCGGGTAGACAAGAAAAAAGAGCAGTAGATTCAGAATGAATAAAAGCAAGGAAGCTTTTCATCTCAAGAGTTTATCATGAGCTGCAGGAAAACGCATATGGCTAACAATGGAGATAAACTCTGAAAGTAGCCAAGGGCCATATGGTGGAAGGCTACATTTAGAGAGTTCAGGCCTTAGTTTCCAGGCAGTGAAAAACAACCACAGGACTTTAAGTAAGAGTGTCATAATCTTATTTCACTGATTAAAAGGAGTCTGGTCACACTATAGAAGATAGCTTATGGGAAGCAGAATAAAACCAGAGGCAGGAAAATCTACTAGGAAGCTTTCTCAAGAGAGAAGATCCTAAATTAAGGCAGGAGAATGAATCAAGGAGAAAGAACTATTTTTCCCTGATTCTTGAGCATAGCTTCCACAAGGTAATGTTATCATCAGGTAGGCAATGTTATATATAATAATAAGAAAGAAAGTTGTAATACTTTTATTTGTGTACTTGGTGTGACTTACTCTGAGGTCAAAAGACATCAGTTACTTCAAATCACCTAAGAGACTTAATAAAAGAAGGAAAAGTTCTAAAATATTTGGAGTAAATTTCAGTACCCAAAACAAATATTTTTGTAATCTGAGTGTCAAGCTCAAGCAATTTTTGTGGCAATTTAGAGCACTAAATATTGACGTTGTGGTACAGAATGAACACAGGATGTGTAAACTAGTGAAACAGTAAAACACCCAATGCACTGTTAGCAGTCTAAACCGCTATGGTCCTATTAACCTCTTGATGCCTGGAAGAAAGCTCCCCAGTGCTTTTCATACTAATGAAAAACAAATTAGCAATAACAACCTTCACTGAAAAATCACCATAGAACAGCTGAAGCAGTCAGTTATTTATCTTCAGACACAGACAAGAATCTCAAGTGAGAACCAAAATTCAGCAGAAATCACTAAAATGCAGCAATATAAAAACTTTACCTCATGCCAGTCTTCGAGCTTGTTGTCAGAAAGATCTAGTTCCGACACGTGAGCACAGAAGGCAGCAATTTCTTTTTCGTCTCCTGCACATGTTATTCCACAGCTGTTCAACACCAGCACACTTGGGAGGTTGAGGCGATCTGAATAACACAACACTTTTTAAATCAGTTTAATTCTTGTCTACATGCACTCAGCCCCCAGGAATCAAAATCAAATAGTGTGAAATGACACGAGGACCTGGAAAAAAACCCAGAATGTGATGGGGTCCAAGGGTATTGAATTCTAAGGGGAAACAGCCAAATATGGCCCGGGAGGAGATTAAAAGTACTGGACCAGTACCACCAAAAACATCTTGTAGGCTTTCCCCCTGGCAGGATGGTTGATCTCAACTACCAACAATACAGCTATCATCCTTGCTGTCATCTCATCATCTGAACACTAGAACATGTGATTTATCTGGACTCCCACTGTCTTCTAATTGGCCTCAATTCTTTCCTTTTTAAAATTTAGTTCAAAAGTATCATTCTGGATAACTCTTTTTTTTTTCATCTGATCTGTATTTCTGCCTACTGCTGCCCTTGAAAATTATCTCAAACCATTAGATGGTCCACTATGAAACCACTTCTGTTCTTCAAATTCGTATCATTAAAGAAATCTTCCTTGCTTAAGTGGATCCATTTAAAAATCTGTGTTCTCTTTCTTGTCCATCAATCATTTCCATTTCACATCCACATAGAATGTGTCCCTTATGAAAATCAGACTTTTAAAAAATACATAATTACAGTGAGAGAAACTGATGCAGAATCTTAAACTATTTAATGAATTTGGTGAAACTGGGGTAGCCAAACTACTTCCTGGTTCAAAAATACATGAGTCAATAAAACCACACTTGTCCTTGTAAAAAGGAGAGACATGAGAATTCAACCACTTTTTCCCTATACGGTACAAAACAAGGACTCACGGAGGCCTCAAATTATGTAATTTTTTTAACTCAGTACTTTTCAGTATCAAATTTCTCAGAATGGGAATGGATCCTGAAAAAAAATGACCAAGTAAGAAATCTACCTCTTTCTGCCACTCCAGTTCATATGGAGTGATAAGACCAGTTGTATTGAGGAACATACGAACTAAAACACTGTTCCATCCTGATCTCCCACACTCACAAAGAACTACCTCCAGAAACTATGAAATACAAACGAGGCTAAGATGTAAGTTACAGACACACCTTACATATTTCTCCATGTTGTAGATTTCTCTCACAGCATAACCCTTCTCCTAGAATGTTTTGATTTCTCCTCTAACCAAGTTCTATATTAGGGTTAGTTCAAGTCTCATAGCATTGAATCTTTTCTTGATCATACTAATTAACTCTCTCCTAAATTTTTTCCCCAGTCACTATGCCAATTATTTGGGTCAACAAAAACTGCCTTATATGTTTGTAAATGTGAATATCTTGTAATCCAGCTAGGCTGTAAGGTCACTGAGGACACGCCAGTCTTGTACTGTCTTGTATCCTCCAAGTTCCTTGACAGAATACCTGTTTGAAACATTACCACTCAATATTGTTCATGCCATGTAAGTGCAACTAAGATGCCTTATGGCCAATCAGGAGGAAAAGAAATCGTTTTGAGTTTTTTAAAAAACTGAAGTCATATCAAGGGAGAAAGGCTATGCAATTCTAATTCCGAAATAAAGGAAATCATCTGGAAACAAGACAATATTCTGGTTTGAAGTCCTAAGTACTAAGCTCCCAGTACATAAATGTTTGAGGTCACGTCTTTCTTACCTTTCATAGGAGAGCCCTGAGGTGTGGCTGGGACATGGACTCCCATACCAGGACCACGACGGTAAGGGAAATTTTCAGGACTATATTTTTCACATAATACTTGCATAAAACTCCTTCCACTAGGTTGATCCATCTTCCTTTCCTAAAATTCTACAAGAAACCAAGAGATTGTCAGAGTTATTTATTTGTCATATATGAAATTTTTACTGCAAACCAATTATTTATAAGGCACTAGCCCAGGCACTGCAGGCATATAAGACATGGTCACTGCCCTCAGGAATTTACACTGTGCTAAGACCTTACAATTTAGGGGAGCTATATATGTAGACAAATGACAGCAATGCAGTCCAGCATATGATAATTGCAGTACAGATTAACAGTGCCACAAGATGTAGATGAGGAGAAAATCATTTCCAGTCAAGGGTAACAGGAAGACTTTTCGCTGGTACCTGGGGTTTATGTGTTAAGAGGAAAAAGAAAGGTGGAGACTCAACATCAGACTAAAGAGTTTGTATGAATCCTTTGATATTTATTCCTCAAAATCTATTTTCCCCTTCTTCCGTAGTAAAAGAATTTTTTTTTTTAAGTAGGCGCCGCACCCAGCATAGAGCCCAATGCAGGGATTGAACTCACAACCCTGAGATCAAGACCTGAGCTGAGATCAAGAGTCGGACACATAACAGACTGAGCCACCCAGGCACCTTAGTGAAAGAATTTTTCACTGTGCACATAGTACTTAGGAATGAGTATATGACTAAGTTCTAGTTGATGAGATAGAAACAGTCTATGGCAGTTTCTGGGAATCCTCCTTAAAAGATAGCAGAACGTACCCTTTGCCTCCTTCTTTGTCTCCAGGTCAATTCTGTTGCCTAGGAAGCAAATACCTCTTTGCACTATGGGCCCACGGAACATACCCCAAGGACGGTGGAACAAAGAGCTGACAGGAACTTAAGTCCTAAGGACTTCATGGAACTGAGCTGCCATAGTGGTTGTGTATCTCTGGAAATTTACTGGAAGATATATAACCCTCTGTTTTATTTACGCCACTGTTCCATTTTTCAGTTACTTATGAATGGACCCAATCCTGACTAATACAGAATGTCCTTTCTTTTGGTTTTGAGTTTGGGTGGACTCTTCACCATCTAACTGCAGCTACAGGTCCAAGCATACAGTAACTCCAGCATCCTCTCAGTACGCACACATAGGTTAAAACAGGTAATTAAGACATGCTAATTTCTGACAGTCTGCTAACCCCTTTTCTTGAGGGGCTGGCCTATGATCTATATTAAATATGAATCAAAATATAGGCAATTGACTACTATAGTTCCAACTATCAAATGACAAGCTTTTTACTAAAACAATCAGAAAAACCAAGGAGAATAAAGAGTACTCTAAGAAGGGATATCATGAGAAAAGGTGTTTAACAATGTGAATGTACACGGTCTAACAGAAAACAGCATCAGGAGTAACTAAACAGGAACCTCACAGCAGGTCATGTGTGCTATATTAAGAAGCTGAACTTTTGTGCTATTCCTTATGTTCCACAAATAAGTGAAACCATATGATAACTGACTTTCTCTGCTTGACTTATTTCATGGAGCATAACCTCCTCCAGTCCCATCCATAGGCAAACAATGAATCATGGAACACTACATCAAAAACTAATGATGTACTGTATGGTGACTAACATAATACAATAAAAAAAATTTTTTTTTAAAGAAGCTGAACTTTATTCTGTAGAAAACAAGAAGAAATTAACAGGTATTAAGGAAGGGAATATAACTACCGAAGTTTTTGGAAAACCCATTCTGACAATCAAATGGCTGATGAATATGAAGGAATACAGATTGAAGGTAGGGAGAAGAGCTAGAAGGACACTACAGAAACATACGAGACCTCAGGCAAGGAAAATAAAGCAAAAATAAACTATTGGGACTCCATCAAAATAAAAAGCTTTTGCACAGCAAAGGAAACCATCAAGAAAACAAAAACAACTTACTCGATGGGAAAAGACATTTGCAAGTGATATATCCAATAAGGGGTTAGTGTCCGGAATATGTAAAGAACTTATACAACTCAACACTAAAAACAAACAAACAAATGATCTGATTAAAAAATAGGCAGAGGATCTGAAGACTCTTTTCCAAAGAAGACTACAGGTGGCTAGCAGGCCCATGAAAAGATCCTCAATATCACTAATCATCAGGGAAACTGCAAATCAAAACCACAATAAGATACCACCTTACATTAGTCAAATTGGCTAGTATCAAAAAGACAAGAAATAAGTGTTGGGAGAGTACGTGGAGTAACTGGAACCCTCATGCACTGTTGGTAGGAATGTATATTGGTACAGGCACTGTAGAAAACTACATTCAGGTTCCTCCAAAAATTAAAAATAGAGAAACCATATAATCCAGTATTTTCTCCAGTGAACAATCACCCAAAGAAAATGAAAACAGTGATTTGAAAAGGTATATACACCCCTATGTTTAATGCAGCAATACTTACTACAGTCAAGGTAAGGAAGCAACCCAAGCTTCATTCATCAACAGATGAATGGATACAGAAGATGTGGTGTGTACACACACACACACACACACACACAAAACGCACACTGGAATATTACTCAGCCATAAAAAAAGAATGAGATCTTGCTATTTGGGACAAAATGGATGGACCTAGAGGGCATTATGCTAAATGAAATAAGAAAGAGAAAAACAAATACCATGGGATTTCACTTCTTTACAGAATTTAAAAAACAAAACAAAAAAAACCACCTTTTTTTTTCGAGATTTTATTTATGTATTTGAGAGGGGGAGGAGGCGCAGGAGAAGGAGAGAATCTCAAGCAGGCTCCCCAATGAGCACAGAGCTCAGTGTGGGGCTTGATCTCATGACCTGAGCAGAAATCAAGAGTTGGATGCCTAATAGACTGAGCCACCCAGGCACCCCAAAACCAGAATTTTATTTTTTTTTTAAAGATCTTATTTATTTATTTGACAGAGAGAGTATAAGGAGGGGCGGGGAGAGGGAGAAGCAGGCTCCAACTGAGCAGAGAGCCCAACATGAGACTCAGTCTCAGGACCCTGAGATCACGACCTGAGCCGATGGCAGATGCTTAACCGACTGAGCCATGCAGCCGCCCCCAAAACCAGACTTTTAAATACAAAGAAAAACATGGTTGACAGATGGGAGACAAGTGGGGAGATGGGCGAAATAGATAAAAAGGATTAAGAGATACAGACTTCCAGTTATAAAAAAGTCATGGAGATAAATAAAAAGTACAGTACAGGGAATACAGCAATATGGTAATAATATTGTATGTTGTATGTATGTAATAATATGGTAACAACGTTGTATGTGTGTAATACTGCATGCTGACCACACTTACCATGGTGAGTATTGAGTGATATACAGGATTGTTATATATCTGAAACTAACATAACACTGTATGTTAGTTATACTTCAATAAAAAATAAAGTGCAATGCTATAAAACGTTTAAAAAAAAGAACACCCAAAACAAAACAGGAGAGAGATGACGAGGGCCTGAGGTGATACAGTGGTAGGACAAAGAGAAAGCAGTGGCAGATTCAAGGTCAATTTAGAAAGCAAGCTTTTCGGGAATTATGGGGGCTGAGGGTCGTGAGATGGAAAAGACTGACCCTCAGATTTCTAGTACAGGTGGCTAGGTGACTGATGATACCATTAAGTAAAAAGAAAATATGAAGAGATTGAGTTGTGCAGAAGAAAATGATGAATCCCACTGTATACAACACATTCAGCCTGAGGCATCTGAGGACTACCCAAGGGAACAGTCTGCAGTTGGGTGAGAAACGTGAGCTGGAGGGGAAGATTTTGACATCAGCAGGATATAGGAAATATTACCAGTAAGAATGGCAGGACAACAGAACTCTCCGGGACACTGATGTTTAAGGAACAGTCAGAAGAAGCAGAGTCATGAAAGAAAAGAAAAGGAATAACCAGAGGAGAGTGTACAGTCAATATGTTGAGAAGTTTTTATTAGAAGGGCAGCAGACAAGCAGGGGAGAATGAAATGGGCTGATAAATAAGGCAGGAACAGGAAGGAGTAGGGAATCAGGGGCAACTGTCCAGATTTTCCCTCTTAAAACAGAAGAGGGCTGAACACAGCTAACAGAGAAGCAGCAAGTGGAACTGAAGAGGCTGAAAATGAATACTGGTATACGGTCCTAGAAGCAACTCATGGGTATGAGCATTAAAAACTTCTCAGAAGGCTGTTCGATACCAGCCAGACAATGCTGCGTACTGTTTGCCCTTGGAAGTGACACATTTACTTCACTGTGTCACACTGGTTTACTTTGGCTTATACAGTTTAATGATACTGAGCGTCGGGCATTTTTCTCATGGGACCGTCCTAACTCCATGACCACATTACAAAGGGGAGCGGAGGTGTGTCGTTTAATTTCCCCAGTAGGGGCTCACAGCATCTGGCACAGTGCACAGCACAGAACTCAACAAATGTCTGCTGACAAGTGATACTAGCTCCCGCGTGCTGAGTGAAAGAGCAGAGAATTCGCCACTCAGCTCTACAGTGTGGTGGCATTGGGCAAGACACTTTTCTCTAGGACTCCCATGTCTTCGTCTGTAAAGTAAGATATAAATATCTCTACTACTTGGATTTCAGGGTTGCCATAGAGCCTTAAAATATCCAAATGCAGTTTGGGATTCCAGGGCTGTTGCAAAACTCTAAAACATACAGATGTTACTAACTATATATTACAGGAGGTGGTAGCATGGTAGAAAGCACACGAACGTAGGAGACTCAGGCTCTGTTATTTACTAGCTGGGTAGAATATAAGCTAGTTATGTAACCTCTCTACTTTAATTTTCATACCTATGGATGGGCTAAAATTTTTCTCTTGGGTTTGTAATAAGAATTTGAAAAAAAAAAAAACTTCATGAATATAGAAGTGGTTTTAGGGTTGCCTGAGTGGTGCAGTTGGCTGAACGTCAGACTCTTGGCTTCGGTTCAGGTCATGATCTCAGGGTCGTGAGATGGAGCCCCACGTCAGGCTCCACACTGGGTGTGGATTCTGCTTGGGATTCTCTCTCTCCCTCCCCTTCTGCCCCTCCTTTCCCTCCCTCTCCCTCATAAATAAATAAACTGTTAA